CAACTACGTAGCATGTGGCGCATGTTTGCGCGTTCCATTGTGAATTTGTGCAAGGATCGGCCTGTGCACAACATGTCACCGTTTCAACGTCTGGATGTTTTGTTTATTTCTATTTCTTCGCACAGTTCCCTATTACATCCTATTCCCTAACCATAGGAACTTGTATGAGCTCTTTCGCACAACCACGCAGCACGTGGCGCATGTTTGTGCGTTCCATAGTGAATCTGTGCAAGGATAGGCCTGTGTGCAACATGTCAGCTCGCCAACGCCTGGATGCCATTTTTACCACTATTTATTCACACCGTTCCCTATTACATCCTATTCCCTAGCCATAGGAACTGGTTTAAGCTAGTTCGCACAATTACGCAGCACGTGGCGCATGTTTGTGCGTTCCATGGTGAATCTGTGTAAGGATAGGCCTGTACGCAACATGTCACCGTTTCAGCATCTGGAAGTTATTTCTACCTCTATTTCTTCGCACAGCTCCCTAGTACATCCTATTCCCTAGCCATAGGAACTAGTTTGAGCTAGTTCGCACAATTACGCAGCACGTGGCGCATGTTTGTGCGTTCCATGGTGAATCTGTGCAAGGATAGGCCTGTATGCAACATGTCACCGTTTCAACGTCTAGAAAATTTGTTTACCTCTATTTCTTCGCACAATTCCCTATTACATTCTATTCCCTAGCCATAGGTGTGAAAGAACGATGAATGAATGCACTAGGAAACAGGTTGGTACAAGTAGGAAAACCTAAAAGTGTTGTACCCCATATTATCTACCCCACTACAGCCTACACAGACTATAGCATATAAGTTTGACACACCCCGAGGGCAGGCACACGGGGCGCGACTCGGGCAGGGGCGAAGCGCGCTCCGGGCAGGAAAAAAAAAACTCCAATTTTCAGTGGGCCCTATGAAACGTTCCCACTAGGGAACCTGCTCTATACCATGTGAAAGAACGAGGAATGAATGCACTAGGAAACATGTTGGTACAAGTAGGAAAACCTAAAAGTGTTGTACCCCATATTATCTACCCCACTACAGCCTACACAGACTATAGCATATAAGTTTGACAATAAGAACTGGTTTGAACTCGTTCGCACAACTACGCAGCACGTGGCGCTTGTTCGTGCGTTTCATTGTAAATTTGTGCAAAGATAGGCATGCGCTCAACATGGCAGCTCGCCAACGTCTGGATGCCTTTTTTAACACTATTTATTTACACATTGGGGAAGTGCATCCTATTCCCTTGCCATAGGAACTGGTTTGAGCTCGTTCGCTCAACTACGTAGCTCCTGGCGCTTGTTCGTGCGTTTGCTGGTCTCGAACTATGCAACAATATATCAGAATCCCAACCACTAGACCATTGGGATAAAAGGGCTTGTTAAGTAGCGGGTCAGTGCGCCCATAACCCCCCAGGCCAACATGCCTGTAGCCCTTCCCTAGGATCAATCGGGGATCACCAGTGGACCTCTGACAGAATAGGCCTGTGCGTAACATGTCAACTCGCCAACGTCTGGATGTCTTTTTTACCACCATTCCTTTGTTCAAAAGAGAAAATTGAAGTCCCATAAAGCTGATGCATCAAATTATGTGACCAGTATGGCTGTTAGTATATTTTACCAGATCTTAAACGCAATTGAATGTATGCGTTTTAGTGATTAATCATATAAAATATCCCGCATGTGTATGATATTGAATACAAGGATTTCATTTATGGCCCTTTGTTGCTATCATAGACAGGGATTTTTAAATACCAGTCATTTCACTTGTATGTTTGTCAAATATTTAGCACAGTAATCGGATTTGTAGCTATCCTGTTTTTGTGTGTATTGTGAAGTTTTAATGACGCGACACGGACAAACACTTCTGCCGACATTTTTCAACATCCATGTCATTTTTGGCAATCATTGGTTCATTCGATTTACAGCAACAATGTCTGGCGATACGGATATTTTTGTGCGATGAGTTTGCTTGAATTGGACTGCCAGCGCAACGCTGCTGAGCAATCGCGCTGCAAATGCTTCCAGCGCAACCGCTGAATATGCCAACCCAGCGCAGCCGCTCAAGTGCCAGCGCAGTGCAACATTGTGCTGCCAAAGCCAGTGCAACCGCGCAGCAGTTGTAAATGTCGCTGGCGCAACTGCGCTGCTGCTGTAACTGCCTCTGGCGCAATTGCAGCAGCGCTCGCCAAACGCACAATCTCCAGCGTCACAAATTCTCTCCCCTCCCCAATCCCCCCAGCCTCCCCCTTCTCCCCATCGCAACTGCTCCAGCTCTCCCACCTCTCTGAGTCTTATTGCGTGTGTTTCCATTCACGTCTCAGCAGAAGCAGATTGGTGCTCTACGTGCGTTAGTACGCCATTTCCCTTCAGATCTCCGGTCGCCCTCGTTCACTTGCCTAACTTAGCGTGCATCACCTTGAACCGTTACTGCCATGCCTTTTGTGTCTGCGTTAGATTTTTGTCAGCCTGTTCTTATAGCTAGGGTTTACTCCTGGCGAGAATCACGGCAGTGGGCGTGAAGTGAACTGCGCTACCTGCTGCTAGCGGCGGAGTGTGTGGTGGCGTAAGGCGCACGTTCTTCTTCTTCTGCTGCTGCTGCTGCTGCTGCTGGTGCTGCTAGTAGGATTCGCGACTGAGGGCGTGACGCAGTCTGGTTTCTTGTCAATTTGGCGCACGGTCGCTCTCAGTGAGATCCGATCTGTGCTATTGCTCTGCAGTTGCTTGTACGCTTTTGCTCTTTTGTAACATTTGACCGTTTTTGCTGCAGGCCTTCAAGGGAAGCTCCCTCAATGAAATTTCCGTGCCAGCTACTCATCCACACTGCCTACATCTTTCTGTTGTTTTTATGTGCTACCTTATGCAACGGCGATGACAGTTGTTTCACTTTCAGACCTTATTTGTATTGCCGTTTTTTGCAGCGACTATCATTTTTAAAGGTACGTGGTGGTCTCTGCCGTTCCGTGTGATTTCCACCTGAACTGTGTGTCGTTTGTATTTTCAGGAAGTTCAGTGCCGATATATGCGTCGTGTATTCAGCAAAGTTAGTAGAGCCTCTGATGCAATATCTTCATGTATTGTGTACATGCAACTCTAATATAAATATTTTTAAAACACACAATGATCCTAACATTTAAACAAATTTGTTACTGATTTGTGTGGTTGCACTAGTTGCTAGTATGGGAATTTTTCGTTCCAAATATATGTGATTTGCTATGTTTGCATAACATAATTTTGCAGATTATATACTTGCCAGTATGGAATTGTAAACAGATGGTGAAACAAATGCATACCAAAGAGTTTGTTTTTGTTAGTGAAGTTGGTATCGTTTTGGTATGCATTGGTGCTCTACCGTTTACATACTAATCCAAACATACTAAATACCTACGACGCATGCTACTTTATGGTACCCCTAACGACCCATACTATTTGTATACTTCAGGATATGTTGCAAGTATATCTACGTTATGTAAAACGATTCATGAAATTTGAGATGCACTGCCGCGGCAGCAGCAGCAGCAGCAGCTCCTGCTGCTGCATGTACTACACCTTCTGGTGGTAGCCCAAGCACCCTACTACCGCCGAAGTCGCCAGCGGGGATTTCGAGAGGCCAAGGGTTCAGGCAGTCGCAGCGACCGCGTCAGCTCGTCAGACCACCCTCCGTTCCAGCGCGGCTTGACAGCATGATCACGATGACAACGGCTCGTTACGCCGCCCGCAGCGTCGGCTGCCGTCAGTTCGGTACAAAAAATCCTGCTTCTCAAAGCGTCTGCGGCGCTGCGCCGCCGCCGATGCGCATCGAGTCGCCCCCAAGCAGCCAGGAATTCATGCCCATTCGCGACGACTCGTCGGAATCGGAGCCTGAAAGCGCCGCCGTCACGAACGCCAAAGATGCCGGCGCCTCAGGCGGCGGCGCAGGCAGCCCCCCAAGTCCACTGTCAAGAGCCGTTGCGAATCACCCTCACGCCGCCATTTCGGTGCGGCGCCATCTCAATGGACGCGTATCCGCGCGACCTTTCCGCTCGTCGTCAAACATCGATTTGGCCGGGATGGATCGCGCCAGTCTTTATGATGACGCTACTACTACTGCTAATAGTAGTGGTATTTGTAGCAGGTCGGATCGGACCCCCAATACCATTTCGATGTCTAGTCCTCCTGCTCTGCTGCCGGCGTCGCCTGTGCCTCGGAGATATGCGCACCGCATGCTCGTCCAGAGCCAGGAATTCGATTTTGTTCGAGGTCCGCGAACTCCGCAGCCGCCTCTGCGGCCAGGTGGTGTCGTTTCGCCTCGCGGAGAGCACCCTCGTCACGACAAACCGCCTCCCAGAAGCAGCAGCAGCACCTCGCTAACCTCGACTACTTGTCTTTTCACGAGAAGCACAGAAAATAAGAAACTCGTGGGTGCTACGGAATGGCGAAGCAGGGTCTCATCAGTTGCTGACGACAATCACACAACGAATTTCTGCGAAGGATTTAGCAGCAGCGGTGCTCCCTCTCCCTCCTCCATGCGAAACATGAGGCTCCTCGTCCATGCGAACTCCAGCAGGGAAACCGGAGTGGGTGGGGCCATCACCCCAGCCACCAATGACGTCCCCTCAGTTCCAGCTCCTTCCCCACGTCAGCCGATCAACTACAGCACACCTGGACGCAGCTTCGGCCAAAAGGTTGATTCTGTGCCATGCTCGCCACGTCAACTACAGCTGCGAGAGCGCATTCTGGGCATCCGATACAGTTGCGTGAGGGATAAGTTCCACATCAGCAAGGAGAAGATCGGCGAGGGAGGAAGCGGCGAAATCAGAAAATGGCTGGAATGGAGCACTGGAACAGTGTTCGCTTGCAAGACTATTCACAAATCAAATATCACGGTAAGCAATATCCCAATATCCCATTACAGAGGAAACTGGTGCTTGGAATAATTATAATCTTGCTCCTCCTCATGGGTCCATTTTGACTAATGATGCTCCACCTTGCCCTATATTCTGTGTCATTGTTCTTGCAGAATCAAAGTGAGGTATCGGATTTGCGCACAGAGGTTCTCCTCATGGACCTTCTGAAATCACACTACGGAGTTGTGCAAGTCCACGAAGTGTTTGAGGACCACAAGGTATGCGAAACGTCTTCCCCTGCAACGTTTCTTTCGTATTTCACTTCAAAAAAGCCCTCATTAGCACCACAACAATCATGCCGATCTCTTCTTCCTGACCCTTCCTCTCTACTCTTCGACTCCTGTTCAACTCCCTCTCATCCAGGCCGTTCATCTCGTCATGGAACTCTGCAACAGTGGTGATCTCTTTGACTTCATACAAAGCGCCCCCAAAGGCCGACTAACTGAGCAACAAGCCGCATCCGTGATGAGACAACTGCTGAACGCTCTCCACCACTGCCACTCCCTCGGTGTGCTTCACCGCGATGTGAAGCCCGAAAACATCCTCCTGTGCGACCGGGTACCGCATCAATCGCGCGACGGGGATGTGAGGATCAAGCTCAGTGACTTTGGAGTGGCTGGATTTCTCAATGAGGGTAAGGGTCGAACTGGTCAGCCTTCTTTTTGCTTTTTTTTTTTTTTTTTTTTTTTTTTTTTAATTTTTTCCCCGCTCTTGTTCCTACTGTTCTCGGATCCAGCACTTGTGTGTACTCATTCTGGCCCTTCTCTCCCAACCGAACCTTTTCACCCAAATCCCTGGTTTCAGACGGTGTATGCACGGACAGCGCAGGCACATCAGAGTACATGGCACCAGAGGTGGCCATGAAAGCACCCTACAACGCCAAGGCGGACGTCTGGAGCGCCGGAGTCGTCCTGCACGCCATGCTAGCTGGCGCCCTTCCCTCCTGGGCGGCGCTACCAGACAAGTTCAAAGAGGAGGCTGAAAGCATGAGCGACGGTAGCAGGAAGGGGAAGGCGACGACGATGCAGGAGGGAATTGCACGGAACGATCTTAAACTGAAGAGCCGGGTGTGGAGGGGTGTGTCGGAGGAGGCTAAGCATCTGCTGAGAGCCTTGCTGAGGAAGGACCCGGCGGAAAGACCCTCGGCTTTAGAGGCATTGAGTGAGTGCGGTGCTGCTATGCATTGGGTGCGGTGCGGTTCTGTGGTATTGGGTGCTGGGCTAGTGCGGTGCAGTGAGGCATTGGGTACGTGTGGTGCTATAAGGACTGCGAGTGCCTCCAGAATAGTAGGCGTGCATGGTCTGGTGCTGCTGTTGCATTAACTACGCAACTATGATGAGAGCATGCATGGTTGGCAGTCATTGTCACGTGTTGCTGATCAGACGATCAACTTTGTGTCTCTGTTTGCACTACCATTCTGTGGCAACTCTTGCACGAATGCCACTGCTTTCATGGTTTGACGTTGCTTGCATGCGTGATGACGTTCATGAAAGCCCCCACGCATCATGATGCACGCAAGCAACGTCAAACCATGAAAGCCGTCGCGACTGTGATGATGCATGAATGGCTTTCATGCATGATGATGTTCATGCATGTAAGCAGTATGACGCAGCACCTAGCAGCCGCATGATGATGCTCTACTGCTTACATGCAGTTGTTCAGTGCTGATTCTGTTCTGGACAAGCGTTTTGGGTGGAATGCTCACTGCTTTATGACGGTTACGTTTGTGCCCAATAAAACAGCTGAGAGAACCCTCCTTCTTTTCATGCTTGCTCCATTGCAGGTCATCCGTGGTTGAAGAATGCCACACAGGAGTGCCAACAGCTGGTGAAAGCTTTTCAGCAGTGCATCAATGCAGCCTGCACTAATGTGGGAGAAGCAGTACAGTCTCATTCGCTATTGCTAGCTTAACTAAACAACCTATGTAACACATATAACGACTAAATATTATAATACCAACCCTGGACTGCAACTTACACAAGCGCAAGCCCACTCCTCTTCTCCCCATCGACCTCTCTGGCAGACAGTGCGTGATACTCTCGCTGGTTCCATAACTGGCAGCATTACACTAGAGGCCAGCGATACGAGTAATTGCTACTTCCGCATTGTTTTCTTTTATTTTCTTTTCTTTTAAAGCGTCATGCTGCACGCCATGCTGGCTGGCGCCCTCACCTCCTGGCCGACGCTACTGGCCGTTTTCAAAGAGCAAGCTGAAAGCAAGGGCGGGGGCAGCAGGAAGGGAAAGGGGAAGTTGATGCAAGAGGGTATTGCACGGAATGAGCTGACTCTGAAGAGCTGGATGTGGAGGGGTGTGTCTGAGGAGGCTAAGCATCTGCTGAGAGCCCTGCTGAGGAAGGACCCGGAAGAAAGGCCCTCAGCTTTGGAGGCATTGGGTGAGTGCGGTGCTAGTGAAGGCATTAGGGCAGCTTTCTGAATGATAGGTGTGCATGACAGTGTGCAGTTTTCGCCTGAATTTACTGTGAGGCTTTGTTGCTGGCACGAGTTGCGGCTTGCTATGCTTTGTTCTTCTCGAGAATCGGTCTTGTGTTGCTGCTCATGCTGGCCATAGTGGGCTTATGCTTCTACATATTCAACGTGCTTCTTAGTGTGTGGTTCTGGTTTGTTTTTATTTGTTTGCGTGATCATGGTGTCGTGCTTTCATGCAACTGCGTTGTGTTTTCTCTGTTGCTGGGGAAGATCTGGGGTGGAATGGTTACCAGCTTTATGATGGTTGCAGCTATACACAAATGACAACCAAGAGAACCTCCCTCTATACTTACTCTGTCGAGAATACTAGGCAAGAATCAGAAACAGCAAAGAGGGTTTTCACTAGCAGGCAGGTGAGTACATATAGCAAACCCTAATTCGGACTGTACTCGCTATAGAGTACCCCACTGCAGGCTAGACAAACATAACATTCTGACACACCCCCATAGTCAAAGTGGGGTACAATCAACACAACAAGCAGGCAGAGCAGTAGTTCACAATTATAAGCAAAGCTAGAAGCTATCACAGAGAGCAAGTGAGGAGGAGGAGAAACTGTGGGGGCGAGAAGATGGGAGGCGACGGCTGAAGCTGCAGACACACGGGCAGCAGGAGTGCGTAGTACTGTCGCTACCAGGCTAAACCCGGACTACACGGCGATAGGCGCAGCTGGCTCGCTGTGCTCCCAGGAGTGCTCACAATGTGGCTACCGGGCGCAGAGCCCGGGACTACTCAGGCCACAGGGGGTCGTGGCTCTCTGGACTACCAGGAGTGCTCACACTGTGGCTACCGAGCGCAGAGCCCCGGACTACACGGCCATAGGGGGTCATGGCTCTCTGGACTTCAGGCGCTGCGGACGACAAGACGACTGCCTCCACTCAACTTCCCCCAAGTGTCCCACACCCCTTTCACACACCCCCTGCTGAACCACTAGCACCGCTCACACGCCACCCCCCTCGTACCACTCCGACGGCTCCAACACATCCACCCCCCTCAGCGGCAGCTGCAACAGTGGGAGACGGAGGAGGAGGAGGAGCAGGGGACGGCTCACACACACGGCACCCCCATACTCTCCACCCCCAAACCCTAACACAGGAGCGCGGGCAGCAGCGGGGGTGGGGCGCGGTCAGAAGCTCGGGGGACGGCGTGCGGCACTGGGGCAGATGGTACGAGCCGCTCACGGGCCTGGCGCAGGCCGGACGAACCGCGCGTGGGCTGCCCGAGCCGCGCGCGGGCCTGGCGCAGCCCGCACGAGCCGCGCGCGGGCCTAGCGCAGGTCGCGCGGGCCGCTACGGGCGACGGGGGGCGACGCGCGGGTCCCCGGGGGCGCTGCGACGGGCGACGGGGGGCGTCGCGCGGATCGACGGGGCAGAAAACCGCCGCGCGCCTCGGGGCGCACGGCGGGATGAAAAATACGCCGTGCACCCGAGCGCGCGGCAAGCAGAACACGTCGCGCGCCCGGGGCGCGCGATAGGCAGGACAGTAGCGGAAGCATTAGGTGGCGGGCCCATCCACAGGATCTACCCAGGAGGGTCGACCTGCTCTGATAGCATGTCGAGAATACTAGGCAAGAATCAGAAACAGCAAAGAGGGTTTTCACTAGCAGGCAGTTGAGTACATATAGCAAACCCTAATTCGGGCTGTACTCGTTATAGAGTACCCCACTGGAGGCTAGACAAACATAACATTCTGACATACTCCAATGCAGGTCATCCATGGTTCAACAATATGACAATGTGCCAAAACTTTGAAAAATATAGAGTAATCAGCTGAACCCCGCGACAACCATGCAGCATGTGCTAATAGGTATTGAAAAAAATGCCACTCACAATAACACCAACTAGGTGTAAATCATACCATAGTGTAGATGGCAGGGCTCTTGCTAGGATTCAGGCCCGTCTGAAAATATAAAAAAATAAAATATTTTCGTCTGACGTTCAGACGAGGGAAAAAAATTAGTCTGATTTTTCAGACGAATGCCAAACCCATGTCTGATTTTTCAGATGAAACATAAGGTGTTGTCTGATGTTTGAAAATTGAAGTATTGTATTGTTTTTCTTCTATCAGAGTGACACGACATGATCGATGGGAGGGAAGTTGGGCTGTGAGAGGGATGAGGAAGTTGGGCTGCGCTGGGATAGGGTGGTAGTACACTGGGCTGCGCTGGGTTAGAGGGACTCGGTGGTTGGGGTGCAGGGCTGCGCTGCAAGGTACAAGGGGATATTGGGGCTGGGGGGGGACTTCAGGAAAAACTGGGCTCGGATTGGGTGGCTGGGTAGTGAGAAGCGAGGGACTTGGTGTGTGGGGGTGTTGGTGGACTGGGGGGAGGGTGGGGGGAGGGGGAGGGTCTGGTTAGTGGGGGGGAGGGAGGGGTTTTGGACTGGGAATTCAGGCGGGGAGGGCTACTCTCGATACTTTTGGTGTCAGACGAAAATGTATACGCTATCTGATTCTTCAGACAAAATATAACGCTGAGTCAGATTTTTTCAGACGAAGTAAAATTGCTGGTCTTATGGTTCAGACGAACTAGAATCGTTTGTCTAACAAATCAGTTGAAATAAAAAATAGTAGGTCTGATTTTCAGACCATCAGACCGATTTGGTACGATAACGAGGACCCTGGTAGATGCTCCTATCCAGCTTGCTAAATCAGGCTACATGGTGTGAGGTATCATACGCATTCAAGAGTTTTCTGATTTGAGAGCATGTCAGAATCCCAGCCACAAACCACTAGGATAAAAGAGCTTGTTTGTGTAGCGGGTGAGTGCGCCTATAACCCCCAAGGCCAACGTGCCTGTAACCCTTCCCTATGATCAATCGGGGATCTCCAGAGGACCTCTGACAGAGCAGCCCTCTGCTCAAGTCTGAATCTTCATAGCCAGTTCGGAGCCTTCATCAAGTCCGCTGTGGAAAAAGGCTCATGCGTTGTAAAACAAGCAAAAAATGTATGTATAGTACTATATATTATATACATCAAATATAAGCATACATGGGTTTTTAGAAATGTTTCTAAATCCACATTGAATTATTCTAATTGGGCTTTGTGTGTTTTGGTTAGGTCTAAGACTGTCGAACAAAAATGGGAATATAAAAGTTGTGGTTTGATTAGGAAATTGATTAGAGGACCAACCCATTAGTGTCATGTACATTGTAGAAGGTTCGCACCTGAAAAAGGCAATTAATGCAGCTTGCACGCGGCACAATCATGTTGCTGCATTACATAGCTAGGCGAAGTGCCAAGCAGTCCCATTGGTCAGCGTGGCAAGATGCCTGGCCCAATGGCTAAAATTCCAGGTGCGTACCAATTTCTGGGAGGGGGTCTTGTGGACTCTTGCAGTTGCATTATAACTGAAGGAGAGATTCTCATTCTCTGCCCATTGGTTCATGGCTCGCCTCCCGTGCCATGGCATACCGGAACCTTTTCCAGCCTCACGTCGCATCCATCTGTTAAACATAGGTTATTGGCTTAGGAAGCACTCGGACTTAGGACTTGGAGGACAGCTAGGAGGATGGCGAGAGGAGTTGACAAAGGAGGTTCACTATAGAATGGAGCACAAGATATATCAGTAGGCAAGGAGAAAGAAACATGGTACACCACCTACAGCAAATGATTTACACAACAATCTACATTGCATACAACAATAAAGAATATTATATATAAATGTAGATTAGCACACCCCAACCGCTTGTAGTGAAGAACCTCGTGCACAACACCCCCTGAAAGGGTACGCCAGGGTGCAGCAAAAGGAGAGTGCAAGCAAGGAGGAGGAGGAGGAGGAGGAGAGAGAGAGAGAGAGAGAGAGAGAGAGAGAGAGAGAGAGAGAGAGAGAGAGAGAGAGAGAGAGAGAGAGAGAGAGAGAGAGAGAGAGATGGCTTGGGGTTAGTCCTTAGTCGTTTTTCAGCCTCTTAGTCCTAGTCCTTAGTCCTTGCCGTTTTCCAGCCCAGTTTCCTAGTATATAGTCCTTAGATGCGCCCTTTTTAAGCTCATTCTTCACTGGTGAGTTCAGTCCACTCTCCAAAACCGACGGCTCGCGCCGGCCGCCTTCGGCGGCACGTGAGGTGTGGCAAGGAAAGGGACGACAAGAATTATAACAACAAGTGTTACAACATGCAGTGGTAGTAACCTACAGCAACAACAACACCCCCGGGCGTGCCTACACCGCCATGGGGAAGCCCAAGGCCAAGCCCGCCGCCAAGGGGGCCGGCAAGGGGAAAACACCGGCTACTCGGTGAGTATCCAGCACAGCCTCCCGTCCATCCAACGCAGGACGGATGCGGCTGCTGATACAAGGCCGAGGGGGGCTTGCTGGGCGGATTCTGCAAGCCGCACCATCGCCCCAGGCCCGGGCCCGAGCGCTGCACCAGGGGCGCCAGGGACAAGGCCGATCAGGGGGAGAAAATGCAGCATCTCCGTTGCCGCGGACACCGCTGCCGACTGCTCCGACGGTAACATCCCCCCGACCTCGGCGCCTTGATGCGCCAAACACACGTGGAGCTGGTCCAGAACGTATGACAGCAACGTCAAGCACGTCCCCACGTGCATTACGCGCTGCTTGACGTGGAGAGGCGTTGTTGCTACACGAGCGGGAGCACGAGGAGCTGGGGGGACGGGAGGAAATTGCAGCACCTGAGGAGTCGGCGGCTGATGCAGCTGAGGCTGAGGTAGCGGGAATGGGTTCGGTGGGGGCTGCTGAGGCTGCTGAGTCTGAGGTGGTGCCACTGGCTAAGATGGAGGCAGTCGTTGTGGCTGGGGTGACGTCGACGGTGAGGGAGGCGACAACTGTGCCGGAGATGGTGGGAGAAGGGACTGCTGCTGTGACTGCTGCCGCCTCTGACGACGGCTTAGCCTATGCGTCGCCGCTACCAGGGGAGCACGGCCGGGCTGGGGAGGAGTCATGGAATGCGTGGGGAGATTCGCCGTCACTGCTCGGGGTGGCGGAGATTGCGGCGGTCGTGGCTGAGGCAGTGAGGCGACCGGAGGGACCCCCGAGTGAAGAGGCTGCGCCGACCGCCACTGCGTCTGCCGGAACGACTGCTGTTGCCGCGGCCGCAAGTAAGCAGGGGCGCGCCTAGGGGGGGAGCAAAAGACTGGGGCCCGGGACTGGCGCCGCTGATTGTGACGCTCGCGAGAAGACGGGGAAAAAGCTCCGCGCCCAGCCAGCACCGAGGCGGCCTGGAGCAGGGCTGGGATCTGGCGCCCCGGGACCCCTCCTGGGCTGGCTGCGACAAGGGCTGCCGCCACGAGAGCCAGTGCGTCCGTCGCCATCTTCCTCTCGACCGGTGATTGACGCTGAAGTGGATGAAGCTGAAGGACCCGCGGTGCCACAGGCGGAGATGACAAGAGCGACGGGAGCAGCAGACACGGCGGCACCAGCACCACAAAACACGCGGCGTTCACCACGCCTAGGCGCGGTGACTTGGGGACCGCCGCGAGGAGGCCGAACGCCGTGGATGCCGGCCGGGCGCGGTGGAACCACGGGTAGCAAGAGACCACCGACGGGCAGAGGGAGAGGAGAGCGGGGGGGCGCAGGACGCGACGGGCGTGGAGGACGCGGAGCCTGCGGGGGACAGACGATCGTAGGCGAGGTCGAACTCCCAGTACGGGCAGGGCCTTGGCGGGAGAGGCACGATAGGCCAGAACCTGAACCTGCTCCAGCGAATGAGGAGGCAGCTGACTCTGACAAATCGGGAATGACCCCGAGTTTATGGGCGGGGAGGAGGAGGAATCAGATGAAGTCTCACTGGAGGATGAAGAGGGAGAGGACAGGAACACATCCAATAGGCGACGAAGGGCCTCGGGTGGTAACCCATCAAACCCCCCTAGCAATGAAGGAGCGCCTGCCACCAAGGCGACGAATGGGCCCTTGCCTGCCACTGAGGCAACGAATGTGCCCTTGCCTTCCACCGAGGTGACGGATGTGCCCTCGCCGGCCGACCTGGCAGACGTCGAGGCCATCTGGCGGACAGCGGGGGACTGGGACGTGTCCCAGATGCAGCGTGGAGACCAGCCCTTTTTAGTCCGCCGCGTACCCCCGCAAATCCTGGACAGCTATTGCCTGTGCCTGCTGGCAACACTCCTCCGTCTGAAGAAGTTTCCCGACTGTGCGGGTGCCTGGAAGGTTCTCCAATTTCTGCCGAGATTGACCCTACGACCACCTTCCAAACCAGTTTATGGAAGCAGATGGGCTCTCCAGGACAAGCCGGGAGAGGACAGGGGGCACGTCATCCATCTCACCAGCCTGAAAGGGGTGGGGGCAGGTGACTGGTTACATGCCATCCCAACGAGAGGCGACCTTACTTTCTCCCCTGGTCAATTCTCGTTGGCTCTAGGACTCCGCCTTGGCATGGAGTTGCCGGTCACTGAGGTCTGCCCTTGCAAGCAAGGAAACTCCAAAATTTATGGCAAGAACCTCCCCAACCACCTCCAGCGGTGTGGAGATGGTGGGGATGCGGTCCGTACCCACGACAACCTGGTTTATGCGGCACTGCGGATGGCTAGTGACGCGGGGCACAAGACTTTTCATGAGACGTCGGCCTTTTCCCCCCCTGTCCTTCGAAAGCGGGCGGACTTGGCTATCAGGGATCAGGAGTCAGGCGAAACGTGGGTCACGGATGTTACAGTCACTGACCCAGTCCTGCAGCGGCGTGAAAAGAGGGCGCGGAAGCCTCCGGGGTGGGCGGCAGAGGAGGCCTCGGAGGGGAAACACAGATTATACGAGGACCGCCCGGGCTATGCCGGTTTCTTTGGTCTTGCGGTAGAGACCTATGGGGCAATGGCCAAGGACACCATGCAGTTCCTTAGGCTGCTAGCGACCTATCCGGCCAAGAAGAAGTACAGGCAAGGGCGCCTGACGACCACTGCTGCCCGTCTCAACGCACACTACAGGCAGCGGTGGTCAGTGTCGCTCCAACGTAGCCAGGCTATCTCCCTCCTCTCCAAGTCAAACCGAGCTGATGAGGCAGCCTTCCCACAGACGGCAGCAGACCCCTGGGCACCACGGCTCAGGGACCTATGGCAGACACTTGAGGATGAGTATGAGGACAGGAGGTCCCCGGCTGTGGCGGCTTGAGAGGATAGGGAGCGGACTGCACTTCAGGGGGTGGTCAAGGAGGGGTCCTGAGAGGTGGACAGCACAGGGTGGCAGCGGCGGTTGACCAAGGGAGGCTCTCGGCTACAGGGGCAAGTCAGGGGAGTAGTGTAGAGCCAGGGCAGTAGGATGTCAGGGTTGATAGGGCCTGGGGCTTTCTGTGGGCATTTGATTTGGTGTGGCGGTTGTTCTGTCTGCTCTCGCGATGCTTGCTAGCTTAGCTACCGGTTGCTTGCACGCTTGCCTAGACCAATTAGTTACCACCGCTATGCCATGCCTGTACCTTATGAACCCTATCAATACATGACTGCTTGAGAGAGAGAGAGAGAGAGAGAGAGAGAGAGAGAGAGAGAGAGAGAGAGAGATGGCTTGGGGTTAGTCCTCAGTCGTTTTTCAGCCTCCTAGTCCTAGTCCTTATTCCTTAGCCGTTTTCAGCAGTGCTTTCATAATATAAAGCCTCTAGATGCACCTCTTGGAGCTCATTCTTTACTAGTGAGTTCAGTCTACTATCCAAAACTTGAAAGCGGCTCGCGCCGGATGCCTTCGGCGGCCGTCGCTCGCCGGCGCGGCCTCTGGCGGCGTATATCGCCTCTCTCACGGCAGCGCATTACTTGTTATAGCAGATGAACTTGCGGGAGTCGGAGTTGCTGTCGCGGGCGGTAACCCTCTTGCCCAGGGAGTGGATTCCCCCGCCTCCAGTGACAAATGTGTTGGTGACACTGGAGGAGGGATTGCCGGCAGAGGCACAGACAGCACTCCAGGCCTACTGAGCGGGCCCGGCAAGACAGAGTAACCTGCAGCTGCTCTTGTCAAAGCACATCAATGTCACACGGGCAAGGGAACTGCTAGCCGACACCTTGGTTGACAAACCGGGGGAGGACCAGGGGCATGGGGTCAGGCTGGTCAGTCTGAAGGGAGTGGGGGCCGGGGATTGGCTACACGCAGTGCCGACGAGATCTGACCTTACATTTGCCCCTGGTCAGTTCTCGTTAGCACTCCGTTTCCGCCTCGGGATGGCCCTACCAGTCACAGTCAAGTGCCCCTGTAAGTGCGATAACTTTGATATCGCAGATACCAGCTGAGCCAATCACCTGCTCCGTTGTGGTGAGGACACACAATGCATTGGTCTATCTCTGAGGTTAGCAAGGGAGGCAGGCTTCAACACCTTCCATGAGACGTCGGTGGTTTTCTCTCCCCCCGTCCTTCGCAAGCGTGCGGATCTAGCGTTCCAGGACAGGGAGTCGGCAGAGACTTGCGGAGATAACTCTATCAACGGGAGCTAGACTACGGGCTAGGCACGGGGTAGGAGGGATCTCTGCGTTCGTTCGTTCCTTAGTCGTTTCCTTGTGCGCACACTACTTGCTAGTTCACGGGGAGAATTGGCAAGAGTTCCACTAGGAAAATTTTAGAACAATGGTACAGAATGATAGCAACAACATTGGCATGCAAGACTACATCAGACCTAGCAAAGCTGCTGGTTGACCTCCAGCGCAGCACGGTCGACCGCGTGCCAGCACGACTTGGTCGACCGCGCTCCAGCAGAGCAAAGTCGCGGCTTGCCAACATTGCAAGTCCACGGTGTGCCAGCGCTGCAGCAAGTCGGCTGCACAGCGTTTCACCCGCAGGACAACAGTGCACCTGCTTCGCAGGTGCATGCAACTGGTTGGTGCACTCTTCCTTGTCACGCGCACAGCGCAGACGCCTGGCAGACTCCACGCCATCGACCGCGCCTACCAGCCACGTCGACCTCGGGATACAACTTCCGAGGTCGACCTTGCAGAACCACCCCCGGCGACCTTCGCATGCTTTCGTAGAAGTCTGTCGCTCGGGTATCCCGATCAACCGGGCAACCAGGTCGATGTTGCCAGGTCGGCGTCCCCTCGTCAACCACTTCGGGGCCCGGCCACCGACTTCGCCAAGTCGTCGGCCACCCAAGGTCGGCGCCCTTCCGCTCGACGTCCAGCTGCTCGGCGTCCTGCTCCTCAACGTTCCCAGTCTCCCCTGTCGAGGTCGACGTCGGCCCCTCCTTCGTCGACCAGCAGGTTCGTCGACCTCCTGGTCGACCACCCCACACTTAGGCGCCCTGGAGTCGGCGCCCGTCGTAGTGGTCACCGTGCAGGTCGACCTCCTCGTTGACCAGCTCGCCCACTGCTGCAGGTCGGCTGCACTCCCCCGTACACCCGACCACAAGGTCTGCTCCTCCCAAGCGAGGACGGGGCCACACCCTACTCCAGTTGACAAGACTTGGGTCACGGATATAACAGTGACAGACCCGGTGTTGCAGAAGCGGGACCCACAAGTACGTAAGCCGCCTGGGTGGGCGGCCAGGGAAGCTTTGGAGAAGAAACACCGCCTGTACGAAGGCCGGCCCGACTATGTGGGGTTTTTTGGCCTTGCAGTGGAGACTTACGGGGCACTGGAAATAGACACAGTGCAGTTCCTTCTGCTGTTGGCCGTAGCCACAGCGAGGAAGAAGTTCAGGCAGGGGCCACTCACTACCACAGCCTCCCGCCTCAATGCACACTATCGCCAACGCTGGTCAGTCATGCTGCAACGCTCCCAGGCAACCTCGTTCCTCAACTAGAGCAACATGGCGGCTGAAGCGGCCTTCCCCCAAGCACCTATAGACCCCTGGGAGCCGAGCCTAGGGGAGCTCTGGCAGGTGCTTGATGATGACCTCGCAGGGGTGTAGACGCAGGGGGGGGGGGTGTAGTAAGGGCGGCCGGGGTGAACAGAGCTAGCCATCACAGCAGGAAGAGGATAACCTGAACGGTTCTGCTGGCGGCACACGACAGCTCAAGCTCTGGTCACATTTGCTGGACATGCATATGCCGTTTCTTGCTGGTTTGCTTGCTTGCTTGTTAGTCCGCCCATCTGGTTGCTTGCCTAGGATAGCCTACTGGTTACAACCGACACCTGCATGCCTGTACCCTTTCAACAACATAAATGCATGACCGCTTGAGAGAGAGAGAGAGAGAGAGAGAGAGAGAGAGAGAGAGAGAGAGAGAGAGAGAGAGAGAGAGAGAGAGAGAGAGAGAGAGAGATAGAGAGAGAGAGAAACATCCCACGCTGAATCGAGCGTGGAGGATCGAGGCGGAATCGAGCGGGAGGCACAGGGGAGGGGGTGGAAGGAGAAACATCCCACGCTGTGGGAGCGACGGTTCCAGCCGCAGCAGTCGCCAACGAGGTGAAATCGCCAGCCGCCCTGGCAGAGGATGACGCCATCTGGCAGATGGCAGGCACGTGGACCTTGGACCTTCTCCAACGAATGGACCAACCGTTCCTAGACAGACGCCTACCGCCCCAGGTGTTAGACAAGTATTGCCTATGCCTCCTCGCACCACTCCTACGGCTGTCAACAAACCCAGAATGCCCAGGTGCATGGGCGATCTTGCTATACCTCCCGAGGCTGACGCTACGTCCGCCAACCGAGCCAGTCACTGGCAGCCGATGGGCATCAATTGAGGCTCGGCTGCATCAGTTCCAGCTGGGAGACTGGGATGGGTTGTACGAAGCTGCTTGCACCATCCCCGACATGGGTGCTCCGCTTAGACACCAAAACGATGACGAGGGGGTTTGCGCGAGGGCAGAGGGTTTGGTTAAAAAAGGTAACATTTCGAAAGCAGTTGCAGCGTTACGCACGAGCCCCCTCGCTGAACCGAATTTGGCGACGCTGACTGCCCTGCGAGCAAAACATCCGTCTGCTAGCACTCCAACGCCAGCCTGGGTTACTGGGATATCCGACTCCGAGCTCAATATCCCACTGGAAGCTGTTCGCGAAATTCTCGCGAAGTGCCCGAATGGGGTAAGTGCAGGGCCCTCAGGCTGCTGTTTCGAACACTTGAGAGACCCGGCCCTGGCGAATGAGGAGATCCTTCTGCTCATGGCAAACGTGGTGAATCGCCTCGCCAATTCCTTCCAGAGCCAAACAGTCCGCGACCTTCTACTCCCTTCCCGGCTCATAGCATTAGAGAAGCCCGGGGGAGGAGTTAGACCAATCGCGATAGGCGAGGCATTACTACGCGTGGTAGCAAAATCGGCGCTACATAGCTTAGGCCCGAAGATCCGAGAGTTCTTCCTCCCCGTTCAGTTCAGCGTAGCGGTCCTTGGAGGCGCGGAGTGTATTATCCACACGGTTCGCTCCCTCCTTAGAGATGACGAGACCCGCATCGCTCTACAGCTGGATGTGGAGAACGCTTTCAACAGCGTCGAACGAGCGTCTTTTCTTTCCGCCCTCCAGTGGTCTACTCTCAACCCGCTGCTCCCGCTCGTCAGGAACCTCTACGATGGCCCCTCTCGGCTTTTAGTGGACCCCCGTCTGGAGGTGGAACACATCCATAGGTTCAGGGGTGTTCGCCAAGGGGACCCGCTGGGACCTCTTCTTTTCGCAGCGGCGATCCAGCCTATTCTGCTCGGCGTGGCTACAAGTGTCCCGGAGGTGGCAATAGTGGCTTATGCTGACGATATCACCATCGTGGGGCCTCGCGAAGTAGCGTGCGTCGCTTTCAACACGGTCGTTGCGGAGCTGGCTTCATGCGGGCTACGGTGCAACCTTGCCAAGTCGGCGGCATGGTGCGCAGGGCGGGAGGAAGGGGGAGACGGCCTGCCACATGGCCTTCCCATCCACCCAGGTGGTCTAAAGGTGTTGGGCAGCCCGGTTGGCAGCGATGCTTTCTGCATCGACCAGGTCCGGGCGGCACTTGCGGAGGCGGCTGCGCCGCTACCCCTCGTCTCCCAACTCAATCCGCAGCACGCCCTGCTCATGCTATCTCGGAGCATCTCCCGCCGCATTTCGTACCTACTTCGCACAACACCGGCAGAGGCACTAGCGCGTACAGAATGGAGGGAGTGGAGCGAGGCATTGGTGGGAGCAGGGCTCATGGCATCAAAGCTACAGATCCCGCGCAAGCTAGAGCAAAGCCTGCTGTGGCGCCAGGCAACGCTCCCGGTCCGGCTGGGAGGCCTGGGAATCATTGATCCCATTTTCGAAGCCCCAGCCGCGTACCTGGCCTCGACTGCAGCAGCGCACATTCTACTGCAGCAGCTGAACTTGCCGGCGGACTACCTACTTCGCAGGGCCGGGGAAATAATTTCCCATTCTTGGACTCCACCTCCCCCCCGGGTGAACCCGCTGTCCCCGCTCGAGGCGAGGCTCCCAGCACAGGCAGCAGCGGTTCTACACAGCTACAGAGAGAACCCCAGGGGTATGGGCAACCTGCAGCTGGGGCTCTCCAAGGCCATAAATCACACGCGGGCGGAGGAGCTGCTGGCAGATACGGTAACTGATAGGCCAGGGGTAGACCGGGGCCATGCCATTCGGCTCATCAGCCTGAAAGGAGTGGGAGCAGGCGACTGGCTCCATGCAGTGCCCACGAGGGCTGACCTCTCAATATCCCCTGGTCAGTTCTCCTTAGCACTAGGCTTGCGCCTTGGCATGGAACTACCGGTAGCGGAGGTCTGCCCCTGCAAGAGATCCAACTCCAAGATAGCCGACAAAAGTCTGCTGAACCACCTGCTACGGTGTGCCGATGGTGGGGATGCTGTGCGCACCCACAATGCGCTGGCCTTTGCTGCTCTTCGCATGGCGCAGGATGCCGGGTACAAAACCTTTCATGAGACCACCGCATTCTCTCCCCCTGTCCAGAACAAGCGTGGTGACCTGGCCGTCAGGGACCAAGAGTCGGGAGAGACTTGGGCGACGGACGCGACTGTGACTGACCCGGTCCTACAGAGGAGGGATGTGAGAGCACGGAAGCCGCCAGAATGGGCAGCTGAGGAAGCATCGCAGGCCAAGCACAGGCTCTACGAGGGGCGGCCTGGCTATGTGGGTTTCTTCGGCCTAGCGGTTGAGACCTACGGGGCGTTGGCGACTGACACTCAACAGTTCCTCCGAATGTTGGCTACTTATGCGGCGAAGAAGAAGTACCGCCAGGGGCGCCTCACCACCACAGCTGCCCGCCTCAATGCACACTACAGGCAGCGGTGGTCGGTGATGCTCCAACGCAGCCAAGCGATGTCCCTCCTCTCCAAGTCAAACCGGGCAGTGGAAGCGGCATTCCCTCAGGCTGCAGCGGACCCTTGGGCGCCCCGGCTGGGAGACCTTTGGCAGGTGCAGGTGGATGAGTATGAGGAGCGCCAGGCTCCAGCTAGAGCGGCTTGAGGGGCTGGGGAGAAGGGAACTCGGTGACATGGGGGGGTTGGGTGGCAGCAAGGGAGGAATACAGGGGCGTGGTGAGAGTGAGGAAAAGAATACAAAGTTTGGGAGGCTTCAGGGGGGACAGGGAATTGGTGGGTGACTCAGGGAAGGTGTGAGGAAGCTGCGGGGTGAGGAAGGATAAGGGGAGGTCTTAGGATAGGGGAGGAACAAGGGATTGGTGGAATATGGAGTTCTCGGGGACTTCTGCTGCTGTGGACCGGGCTGCTCTGAGAGCTAGGTGACCTTTGTGCTTTGGCTGGATGGGCTTGCTCAGTTTGCTTGTTTTTTCTAGCTTCCTGGTTGCTTCCATGTTTTAGACAAGCTAGTCAACACCACTTTCCATGCCTGTACCTTGTGACCCATATCAATACATGACTGCTTGAGAGAGAGAGAGAGAGAGAGAGAGAGAGAGAGAGAGAGAGAGAGAGAGAGAGAGAGAGAGAGAGAGAGAGAGAGAGAGGGCAGACGGAGGACATAGGGAGGCCTGCGTCGGCTGAGAGGGAGGCCCCTGAGGCGGAGGAACCGGTGGGTGGGGAACCGGCGGCAGAGACGGCTGCTGAGCCGCAGGAGGCGGCTGAATCTGCGGAGGATGAGAGGTTAGCGGCGGCAGAGAAGGACTCGGCTGACACTGAGAGACCTACAGCTGGGCCTGCGGCGTCTGAGGCGCTAGAAGAGAGGCCCACGTCGGCGGCGGCTGCGGCGGCAAGCAACTCGGGCCGGAAGACGCAGACGGCGCCACCGGCTCAGCCCCGGGCGGCGCCACCGATGGGGAGGATAACAGGGCCGCCGGCGCAGACAAAGGCTGCTGCTGTGACGAAGAAGAAGCCAGCGACGGCAACGGTCGAGGCGGCAGGGGCTGCGTCGATGGTTGCGAGTGAGGCGCCAGTGGCACCTGCGACCGTGGGGCCTGAACCAAGGATCGCGCCGACTGCAGGGCAAGCGACGGAGATGGCCAGGGAGGGCGGCGGCGGCGGAAGGATTGACCCTTGGCCCTTAGATGCGGATGAGTCCGCCCGCGGGGAGACCGATAAATCGGCTCACGAGGCGCAGACGAACCGACGCGTGCCTGAGAGGAGCCGCCGCCAGAAGCCGCGGCCGCAACAACATCAGCGGCGGCTCGGAGAAGGGCTGGCACCCGCCCGACCTGGGCCCCTTGTGGGTTGGACGCATCAGGCAGATCCGCCCCATGCAGTCGCCGAGGTGGAGGGCGGCGCCGACCAGTCATCACCGCTGGAGATCGCGGAAGAAGAGGCGGAGGCGCAAGAGGAGAGGGAGAGCGCCGCCGAAGATGCAGAGGAGAGGAGGGCCGAGGCGAGACGCGGTCGCCACCAAGGGGGAACGAACCGGCAGCAGGCCCTGCGGGAGCAGGCCAACCGGAGAGCTGAAGGTCGACCGCCGGAAACCGTGGCGCCTGGGGCGGCAGTGCGAGGAGCGCGAGGGAGGGGCCGAGGCAGGGGAGGAGGCCTGGGAAACTTGGTACGAGCGTTAGCAAGGGAAAAGGGCCAGATCGGGGGACTGGCGGGAAAGACACGGAAGGCCGGAGCGGACTGGCACAAGACAGAACGCAAACCCAATGAGGGGTGAGGATGAAGGAAGTGATGGGGAATATATTGCATCGAAGGAGAGGGATTCTGAAGATATCTCCCTCGACGCAGAGGAGGGGATCCCGAATACAGGCGCAAACCAGGGACAGAGGAGGCCGCGTGGCCCACAACCAGCCCAGGAGGCCGAATCAAGTGCACAGGCTAGCGCAAGGGCAGCAAATAGAGAGCGCTCAGCAGCAGATATCGCGGATGACGAGGCCACGTGGCAGAAGGTGAAGGAGTGGGACATGTCACCTCTACGCAACAGTGCCCAGCCCTTCCTAGGTCGGAAGCTTCCCCCCAACATTCTCGGAATCTACAGCTACTGCCTCACGATTCCCCTGCTGCGGCTTTCCAAGAACCCGACCTGCCAAGGAGCCTGGCGAATGTTGCTATTCCTGCCCCGACTCACACTGAGAGCTAACATTGGGAACGCACCTGGAAACATGTGGAGCAAGGTGGCGACAAGGCTGGACCAGTTCAAGTTGGAAAAGTGGGACTTACTGTACTCCCAGGCCTGCACCATACCCCAGAACTCCCAACCGAGTCGTCACCAGCCGGACCCAGAGGGCATCTGCGCGAGGGCGGAGGGGCTCGTGCGCAAGGCAAATCTGGCAAAAGCAGCAGCAGCGTTACAAACTTCGCCACTCGCAGAACCATCAAATGCGACCCTGGAAGCATTAAAAGCGAAGCACCCTGGGGCAGGGAGCGAAACCCCAAACTGGGTAACAGGATTCGCCTCCAGCAACCTCGCAACGTCAGCAGAGACCTTTCGCGAAGTACTGGCGAAATGCCCCAACGGAATTGGAGCGGGACCCTCAGGCACCTGCTTCGAGCACCTTCGAGACCCCGCGCTCACCAACAATGAAGTATTCTCTTACCTGCACGGCGTCGTCAACCACGTCCTTAGCACCCACCTGCCAGCGGAACTGACGGAGCTTTTGCTACCATCTAGACTAGTAGCCCTGGAGAAACCGGACGGAGGTGTCAGACCCATAGCCATAGGAGAAGCGATACTACGACTCACAGCTAAGGCAGCGCTTAGGGAACTAAGCACGCCCATCCGAGAATACTTCCTCCTGGTACAATTTGGAGTGGCAGTACCTGGAGGCGCCGAATGTATTATTCACACGGTGTGGGTGCTCTTAGCTGAGGATCCGAAGCGAGTGGCGCTGCAGTTAGATATCGAAAACGCCTTTAACTCGGTTGAACGCGCCGGTTTTTTCGAATCACTGCATTTCTCTGGACTCAGCCGCGTCATACCACTAGTGCGTACGCTGTACGGCATACCCTCCTGCCTACTACTGGATCACGGCTTCGCGGCACCACACATCGAGAGCGCGCGCGGGGTCCGTCAAGGAGATCCATTAGGCCCCATGCTTTTCGCGGCAGCTATTCAACCGGCGCTTCAGGTGGCGTCTGACATCTTCCCGTCGGTCACGGTCATGGCCTACGCGGATGACATTACAATCGTGGGGACGGCGCAGGAAGCGGCACTCACCTTGGGGATCATCACCAGGCAACTCGCCGGCCGCGGCCTCAAATGCAACCTCGCGAAATCATCTGCTTGGAGCCCATCAGGCATACCGGACGACCTTCCTGACGGCCTGGTAGCAGCAGTAGACGGCATACGCGTCCTGGGGAGCCCCATAGGAACAAGGGAATACGGGAGGCGCATGATCACAGCTTCCCTAGACGCGGTGGCGGCCCCCCTAGACCTTATCAGCAGCATCCACCCGCAGCACGCCCTACTGTTGCTGTCACGCTGCGTATCCAGGCGTATCTCATATCTGCTTCGGACAACACCGGCAGACATGCTGCCCTTAGAAGAGTGGCGGGAGTGGAGCGAAGGAGTGGTGTGGACGGCGCTCAAAGCGGCACACCTGCACGTGCCGAGGAAGGAGATCGAACAGAGCCTGGTGTGGAGGCAGGCCACCCTTCCAGTATGCCTCGGCGGGCTGGGCCTCATAGATCCGGTCTCGGAAGCACCCGCAGCCTACCTGGTATCCCTATGCGCGGCCCACACCCTACTGAGTGGCCTCCCTGAGCACCCAGACCACCCCCTGCGGCGGGCTGCAGACCTGGTATCTACAGAACGCATCAAGGTGTCGGCACGGGGAGGGGAGACCCTGCAGGACCTTAAAAGCAAGCTACCAGAAAGGGCACTGGAACTCCTACATGAGCACCACCGTCAGAAGGGGGGGAAAGGGCGGCTGCAGTTGGGGCTATCCCGCGAGGTCAACTTGGACAGGGCAGCGGAGCTGATAGGGGACACCCGGGTAGACAAGCCGGGCGAGGATAACGGGCACGTGGTGCGGCTCATAGCCTTGCAGGCGGCGGGGGCAGGAGACTGGCTGCATGCCATACCCACGCGAGCGGACCTCACCTTCTCGCCCGAGCAATTCGCCATAGCCCTAGGCTTCAGGCTCGGCCTTTCCCTTCCAGTCACAGAAAACTGCCCCTGCCGCGGCAGGCGCTCCAAGATAGCAGACAGCAGCCTGCCGAATCACCTGCTGAGATGCGCGGATGGGGGGGACCGCACCAACACCCACAACGCGCTGGTGTACGCGGCACTACGCATGGCACGTGAGGCGGATTTTACTACCTTGCACGAGACGACAGGATTTTCGCCCCCAGTCAGCCCTAAACGGGCGGACCTGGTCTTCCGTGACAGGGAGTCGGGTGAAACCTACCTTACAGACGTGACTGTGACCGACCCAGTGCTGCAGAGGCGGGACACCCAAGGGAGAAAGGCGCCAGGGTGGGCAGCAGAGGACGCTGCCAGGACCAAAAGGGGGCTGTATGAGGAGCGCCCCGAGTTCGCGGGGGTCCTGGGCCTGGCCGTGGAAACCTACGGGGGACTAGCGAGAGACACACAGAAATTCTTCCGCATTTTAGGCACGAGTGCGGCCAAGAAGAAGCACCGCCAAGGGAGGCTCACCACGGTGGCCTCCAGGCTGACTGCGCACTACCGACAACGCTGGTCGGTAATGCTGCAGCGCTGCCAAGCCAACGCCATGCTGGCAAAGTCCAACAGGGCGGCGGAGGCAGCATACCCCCAGGCCTGGGCTGACCCTTGGGAGCCAGGCCTGGGAGACATATGGCAGGTCCTGGAAGATGAGGTGGAGGAAGTGTGGGACCTGGGAGTCTAGAAGGCTGGAGAGAAGGAGCCGGGGTAAGACCAAGGCTGCCTGAACCACCATGGGGGCCTAGTGATAGGTGCTTGCATGCCTAGGCAGCCATGTACCAAGGAAGGTAGGAATAGTACAAGCAATGCACGCCAGGATTGCCTATGCTTCTAGGGCAGCATGTATGCAAAACTACTCATGCCATGCTTTTATCCTATGACCATTATCAATACAGGACTGCTTGAGAGAGAGAGAGAGAGAGAGAGAGAGAGAGAGAGAGAGAGAGAGAGAGAGAGAGAGAGAGAGAGAGAGAGAGAGAGAGAGAGTGGAGAGGTGGAGGGGTGGCTGCCTGGTCATACCTGCCACCCCTACACCCTTCCACCCCTCCTGCTGCAGGCGCACCAAGGAGAGGGAGAAGTCGGGGGGAGGGGGGAGCGGTGCAGGCTCCTCACGGCGACCAACCCGTCGCGCCACCCTGCCCACTGGTGTGCGCGCTACCGTACGCTGTTGGTGTGCGCACTGACGGCCGCTCATGGCATGCGCGCTGCCGGCATCTCATGGCGTACGCGCCGGCGACAGCTCCTAGCGTGCGTGCTGGCTCATTGCTGTGCGCGAAGGCGTGCAATGGCGGGCTGCACGATGGGCGCAGGTGATGGCACGAGGGTGTAGCGCCATTAGCACCAACTCCACCCCCTCCCCCCCCCCCCAACTCCGCTCCTCCCCCCCCCCCCCCACACACACACAGCCACGTGCAGAAGGTGATGCGACAGGGGGGGCAGCGCGACAGTCGGGCGACGGGAGCAACAATGGCAGGCTACAAGGGGGCGCGCCCTAGCCCCCCGCTGCGACCTTTTTACGGCAGCGACCGTCGTAACTACGGTCATCACGGGGGGCCGTGACGTGCGCCATGAGAGAAGCGTGAATGGGTGGGCCCATGGGGGGGTGGGGTGAGGGAGGCCTTTAGGAACGAGGGGTTTTTAATCCCATGCCGGAATCGTAACTGAACTGAGGACTTAGGAGGTCGATTATCTAGGAATGTGAGTGACAAGAGCATGATGTCAGAATGTTATATTTCTCTAGTTTGCAGTGGGGTACTCTATAGTGAGTACAACCCTGTTAGGGTTTACTATATGTACTCAACTGCCTGCTAGTGAAACCCCTCTTCTCTGTTTCATTCCTCGTTCTATCTTTCACATGGTTTCAGAGCAGGTCGACCCTCCCTGGTCGATCCTGTGGATGGGCCCACCCGATGCTTCCGCTGCTGTACTGCCTGTCGCGCGCCCCGGGCGCGCGACGTTTTCTGCCTACCGCGCGCTCCTAGCGTGCGGCGTTTTTTCTTCCCGCTGCGCGCTCGGGGCGCGCGGCGGTTTCCTGCCTCACACGTCACCCCGGGGACCCGCGCGTCCCCCCCGTCGACCATCGCGCCGCCCCCGGGGACCCGCGCGTCCCTCCCTGTCGACCCGCGCGCTGCCCCTGTCGACCCGCGAGTCGCCCCCCCGGGGACCCGCGCGCGCTGCTGCGTGGGCCCGCGTGCTGCCCTGCCCGTCACCCGTCGCGGCGCCCTGGGGGCCCGCGCGTCGCCCCCTCCCGTCGCCCGTCGCGGCGCCCTGGGGGCCCGCGCGTCGCCCTTCTCCCGTCGCCCGTCGCGGCGCCCTAGGGGGCCGCGCGTCGCCCCCTCCCGTCGCCCGTCGCGGCGCCCTGGGGGCCCGCGCGCCGCCCTGCCTGTCGCCCGTCGCAGCGCCCCAGCTGCTGCCCGCGTTTCTGCCCTGCGTCGCACACGTGCCTCCTGTGTTGGGGGTATGGGGGTGGCGGGTATGGGGGTGGCGGGTGTGTGAACCTTCCCCTGCTCCTCCTCCTCCTCCGTCTCCCACTGCCGCAGCTGCCGCTGAGGGGGGTGGGTGTGTGAGAGCCGAGGGAGGGGTGCTAGGGGGGTGACATGGGAGTGGAGCTAGGGGTGCAGCAAGGGGTGTGTGAAAGGGGGGTGGGACAGTTGGGGGAGGTTGAGCAGAGGTAGTCGCTCTCCTACCTCAACTATTGGGAAGTTTACAAGCTGCGTGCGCTGGAGCATTCACCTTGCATCAGCTACGAATACAAAGCCTGGATAATCCTCGATTTGTTTTAGCAACAGAGTCACGAACGCGCGAGATGTAATCTTCTACGAGCGATTCAATCTCGTACAATACCTCGCGGACGAGGAGACGGCGCAAACCAGGTCTATGCGAACGACAAACGCAGCTACACTACCCCCGAAGATGAAGCCGCCACAGCTATCGTGGACCGGGACAACACCAGCGAG